TAAAAATTTTTCATCTGTTCGGATTTCCTAGCTGAAAGTCTAGTGATCCGAAAATTATAGGGATCAAAACTTATCTTTTCGAAAATTTCAGTCCGAAAAAAGGCTCCCGAAAATTCTAGGTCACCTTTTAAGGGTAAAAATCCGTTAACAATGGGCAATTATACCATTTTTCAGATGTTCGAAAATCCTAGGAGAGGCAGGCAAGCAAGAAGCGATTGCGATTTTAGCCAGACATCTGCAATGCCGATATTCACAAGACCACCTTTAGCTTTTCCGCAGAAACATATACCGTCTTGAATGAACTCCCAAATAATTTGCAAAGAGAGAGCTGAAGTTTTGGTAAAAACTATCTGTTTGAGCTTTTGACAATAGTTTATAATTCTCCTTTCATTATTCGCGTCTCAGCCTGGCGACTGTTCTGTTCTTTGTGACCATTCTGCTTGATGAAGTAAGACCTAAGGTCATGTGTATTCACACGAAAATGAACGTTGTTTGTCGTAGACTGCGAGCAGTAAAAAAAAGAGAGAGATTGCTCGTAGTCTATGTTTGTCGGGTTTGCTGCGGGAGCAAGAACAGGAAAAATGTTTTATTTCGCTCGATTATAATATCACTTGAAAAAAGCGTCTCAACTTTACAAGTTCCGGTAAACAGAGTAATTACGTTTGGACCATGCTGAGAAGCCCCCAACTTGTGATTGGTCACGTATTGGCAGTTGACGTTATCGGAATTAGTTCAGAAAATGGTGGGCGGAATACAAAAACACCGGCTCTTATAGCAGGCGCTCCCTTCCCTTTTCCCCGCTTTCGTGCTTTTCTCCCTCTCCCCTCCCCCTTCCCTTTTTGCGCCTGCCACGCAGGCTACCCGTCAGAGCAAAAGACCACTCTCCGCCCCACTAATATTATAAGTTTGTCACGCCGAAAATTTATCTTATTGTTTTGAGGAATTTGATCCGGAGTCACAATAGACCATTTCTTGATACGCTTTATGGGTGATTTGTAGTTGCCTTATGTAAATCAAAGATATCGTTCAAACTTGTAATCATTTTCCAGTAATCAAGATCCGGTTCAGAACTGGCCCGCAGTGCAGGCGTATTTCGGGCTGGCGAAAATCACTTGTTTTATGTTCGTATTTTTGTGGCCGCCATCTTTGATTTTATGACAGAGGAAAATTGGGGAGAGTAGAAATAGCAACCCCTTAGGGTAGGTGCCAGGGTGAAAGAAGGAAAGGGGGAGGGAGAGGGGAGAAAAAAATGCGGCATTTTCTCTTGTATCTCCCCGTTCCCTCCTCCGCTAAGTTTGACTCGCCCCATTTTCTCCGCTCTTTTGGAGTTTCAACAAGGTGCTTTCGCGAGCAAAAACATTCATTCGCCCGAAGAAAACGCCTGCACTGCAGGCTAGCTCAGAAACCTTGTCTGTTTTCATCGAGTTTTAAGTATTTGTTGTCGTTTTCCTTTCCCGGGCGCTTCCTTGGACAATTGACTGGTAAAATACTTCTTATTTATCACTGATGACAGCGCATTCTAGGCCGCCAGCGCTTGTACACGACATGCTTCGAATCGCGTGGTAAGTTTGTCTGCCTGATCGATTTCTATAATACACGGTAAAATGTAATAAAATATGCAACTTACGTTACTAGAACTGCACGAAATACGAGTTTAAACACCATGTCAAATCAACAATAATTCTTGCAGAAACTCTTTAGCTTACAAACTCGAAAAATCTATTAGTTATGTAAATTCGATTTCTGATAAATGTATAAATAATATCCAAGAAAGAATTTCAAAGACTTTAGTTTTAGTTTTTGTATTAAGGTTTCTAGAAATTTAAAACTACAAATAAAAAAATAATTAAAACAAATGAAAAGATGTAATATACAAAGTACTAGTCATTGTACTCGCGTTTATCTGCTGGTTGATAAAGAATTGAATTGTCTAATAAATAATTAACGTGAAAGTCAGTGGCATTGTTGAGACCCTTTCTGGTTGCGGTGCAGCAAAATGTCTGTGTAAGCCATGCAACATCTAAGTATATGCTGTGGCAATTCAAAGCCCTTACTGCTAATATCGAAAATCTTTCCTTTGTCAATTACCCAGAAATTAAAAAAAGAAAACTTTTGAACTTTTAACCGAGTTTAAGAACGTAACAGTACTAAGAACTGAAAAAAAAATCTCCATTCAAAAATTATTTGTATCCTCCTTTTTGAAGAAAATAGAAATTATCATCCGAGCTAAAACCTGCGAGCAGAAGAATCTTACCTTCTATAATTAAATGGCTCTCTTCAGCTGTACAGATCCTCGGAATAACTTGCTATTTTTCCCCTTTCGTGTAGGTCGTGTTAGCGTTCTCGGAATATACATGAACCTGTTAAACAGCAAACGCGCTTATTTTTATCCTGGAAAGGCTTATTTCGCACAGCTTAATATACAAATACTAACGTGCCATTATGTTGTCATACGAAAGCTGGCCATCTGGCAGTATAGTTTTGTGTTTTTCAGGGGCAATCGTAATTATTTACCTAGCGATTACAATAAAAACTAGTCGCATGAAAACCATGTCATGTTAAATATAAGCACTAAAATATTAATAATTAAAATAAAGATGATGTTAATAACAATGGTAACAAATGAGGAGAATTCACGTGCCTATGACAATACGCAATTTATTTAACTTTCACACGATATATTGGAAAAAAATTATATTTTCCTAAAAATTTATTCCATTCACCGACTCTTTTCTAATCAATTTCAAATATCGTCGGGATATTATTGCCTTACAGTAGATGTATGGAAAACAGAAATTTCTACCTATTCTTAACACCCCTTCTGAGTCATTAAGGTGACTGAACACAGTGTGATAAGTTGTGGATCGTTACCATTCATTGGGATATTACTCGTTGCAGGTATACATATAAAGCTCAAATATGGTATATTTATAAGACATATCATTCATTAGGTTAAACATGAGATTTGATCATTGCCATGACAAAATAGAGATTGAAAAGAAGCCTAGAACTTTGAATTTATTAGGTTTACACAAATCCACAGCTTGCAATAAATTAGTAACCTTCATCGCTAAAAAACTGCTTAACCAAATTGTAACTGCTGAACAGATTTTGAAATTTTTAAGATAATAGTTTTCTGAGAAACTTGATTGTGACACAAAAGCCCTTTGCTGAACTTTTATTTTGAAGCTTTGCAGGCGATGTGAACGTGATTTCTGCATAATGAAGCGACTGCTCTGTTGTCATTTGTAATATTTTGTTATAGTGTGTAATACATACCTATCGCAACTTGAAATAAAAAGGTCGTAATTTTGTAATAAATCGTGAAGCCACAGTAATTTGTAATAACGTTGTTGTAATTTGTTATAAACATTATTAACAACACAGAAAAGGAACAGCGGCATCAATACCTGTCAGTCCAAGAATGTGACGTGTAGGTAGACGTCAAGGGGACAAGACATTACAAACTTGAAAAAACGCTTGTCATGTCTAATTATGAGAGCCCGTTAGTCACACTTGTGAGCTATAGAGCTCACTATTTACACAAAAAAGGCAGCCTTGCGGTCGAAAAGGCTCGGCAGAAGCATTCGATTTAACGATAAAATTTGTGTGTGGGAGAAGGACGCACTACGAAGTATAGGCAATAATAACTGAACAGACAAAAATTGATAGAAAACAATTAATACATCGCCTTCCAAACGGTATACAGTCAAACTTGTGTACAACGGTCATTCTTGGGAAATGGCAAGGTGACCGTTATACAGCTACTTCGAGAAAGGTTGACAATCCCGAAAAGTATTGTGGGTGGTTTTGAGTTCGCTTTTCTTCAAAGAAATTTGAAGGAATGGTACGAGAGGCCATGGACGTATGTTTGCGCGTGCCAAGGGAAATCAACAAAAGAAGCTTTGACAGCTACAGTGTCTGGAACAGTGTATTGATTATATCCCATATTACCTTTCGGGATCGTCGCGTGCACATTTTTGCCGACAACCTTTCTCGAAATAGCTGTATACAGGGTGACCGCTATATACAGGTCAACTTCAGAATCATATACCCTTTTTAGGGCAGAGAGGTCAAAAACCATAATACCTTGTCAAGTGACACATACCCGTAGGCCATGTAAGGGAGTACACCCTCCGGGGACGTTATTAAACAAAAAAAATATGTTTTCTGAGTGTGGAAAAGACCATGACTGCGTGCTGAAAACGCCGGATGCCTGCTTTGTCCTGGATCTACCCGCTTTCTCTGCGCAAAACGTAAAATATGGTGATGCAAGTATATTAAGAGCTAACACTGAGCATTTTAAGTTGTTTTCGGTGCGTGCTTATACGCCGAACACCTTCTAAGCCTTTGAATTTAGAAAGATTTTGGTGGATTATAACTCTTGAACCATTCACTGAAATGAAGATTAATGCTCCGCACTACTTTCCTGTAGAGCTATTTATTAATAAGTGGACAAGGCGAGTGGCTCTGACGTTTGCATCCTCGGAGACCCAGGGGCAGAGAGTGGGGGCGAGGGAAAGTCTAAACGGGCGAGAAAATATGGCACGACGAAAAGAAAAGGACGACGGAAGAACCCCTGGGGACGATGTATTACCAGACCAGTTCCAAACGGTCGCCGCCGTTCTGGCTTCCGATTGGTGCCAGAAAACTTTTGTGTTTTTCTCCCCAATCAAAAGGCAGAACGGCGGCGACCGTCTGGAACTGGTCTGGTAAGACATTGTTCCCAGGGGCTCTTCTCGTCGTCCTTTTCTTTTCTTCGTGCCATATTTTTCCGCCCGTTTAGACTTTCTCTCGCCCCCACTATCTGCCCCTGGGTCTCCGAGGATGTGACGTTTGAGACTGTCGATAAAATCCTTACGTTTGACCTTCAAATACCTTAAAGCTACTGATCAGTACCTTTCTGAGGTAATCAGGTTTTAACCTGTGACCAAAATCCGAAAATGTGATAACTTATTATAAATGAAAGCCAAGAAGAAGCACTTGACTGTGATGTTTTTTGTTATGCTGTACAAGGTGGTCCTTACCCTTGAGTCTGTGGATAAAATCATAAAGTGTGACAAGTCAAATGAAAGCTACTGAGCAATACTTTCCTGGTTTTTTCTTGAAATGAATCTGAATATGAAAACAAAAATAAAGGCTACGAAGCCTGACTTTTGAATGGTAGTTAAGAATTCCTGAGATGTGACTTTAAGAATTCAGCGAAAACCATGCACCATTAATGAGTTATTCGGCCTTTAGAGACATTATTTCTGTTCAAAGTTGCGGCTTAAAGCGATTTTCTTCACAAGAATATTCAAAGATTGACTAAAAGCACTTACCTACATCTCCCAAAATTGGCAGAAGAATTTTTATTACAAGGTATAGATGATGGGTCTAGTTGGGTTATTTATAAAATTGAAACCTCAAAATAGAAAAGCTCTTCAATTATACAGCACCCAATTTGCCTTAGTTTGTCACTGGTGAAAACTGATCAGAAATATCTTAGATAACTAACATAAGTCTTGAGATTATCAGTAGTGAAAACCTGTTGCCTGGCAACCATGGAGAACTGACAATTTGCGGAAATAAACTTGAAAGTACTTAATGTTCACTATTAACTCAGTCTAAGCACTGTGACCGGCTATTTCCGGGTAACTTGAGGTAATTACTTTAGGGAAATCGCCCCTTACAAGAGTTCCGTAAATATTGATTTCATAAAAAAAAAAATAGTCATGAAGAATGTGAACGAAATTTGAGAAAAATTAATTTAAGCATTGGATGTTTTTGGACTGTCTCTGATTACTAAATGATTTTTGATTTCTCGCGATAATCCATACTTAACTGGAGTGGTTTACTTTTAAGAGGAACGTAATTTTCAAGTTGCTAAAACAATACAACGAATTTAACGATAAGGAAGGTGAAAGAAAACTGTGGGTGTTATGCATTGAGAAGGGGAATTGTTACTTTGTGAAATGATCGGGTGTAGAATACGATGTTAACATCCATATATATATATTCATACACCTGCGAGTTTGCAAAACAGACTTAAATTCACCATCAACATTTCTTTTACCTAATTACGTCAACAGTGTTCGAAGTTCACGTGACCTCATAACGTCGTAAGGACAAATAGCTCAATAAACACCTGCTTGAACCAAAAGAGAATCGCGAACGGAAAAAATGTTTGTGGAAAGATGGAATCGTTAAGCAATGTAGTATCAGTAAATTTTAAAAAAGAGAAAAAAATTGCGAGTTGAAAATATGTGTGAAGCTGAATAATTTATATCAAAGACATTATTGTCTGGCTTGTGGGTTTTAGGAAAATTTATCGCATTTGTTGTTGTATATTGTCTGCCCCTCGTTTTAGATGTTTATTAAATGCTTAAAAGTACTCTGGATTAAGCAGTAAATCTTACTCATGATTTAAATAAAACACAATCTTGCCTTTGAGATTGGTCATTAAGTACTAAATCCTTTAAAACAAAAAGTTGACCTATAGAACTCAAGTTTATAGTCCGGGGCAGAACCAACTAAGCGGACGTGAGTTGATAAAAGACCTCGCTTTCATCGACGGTAATGGCTTTCAGTTGTACTGTTTGTAGTTAGCTGTAAGATATATTTATTCCTTATCTTTAAAGGAAGCCGATCGTTTTCTGGTCAGTTGATTTCGTGATAAGTCCGGATTGAATTTTATGGCAAAAATTCCCTGGTATTGTTGCAACGGTTGATTTCGGTGGAAGTTTATTTTGTGCGATATTTGCGAATTTCGTTCCTTCACCCATTCAAATAAACTTCATTATATTTCCCTCGTTTATGTTTACCGATAAGCTACAAAGATTACACTGAAGTAAACATCATTATACTTACAAAATTATCCTCCAATCCTCTAAAGTTGACCTCTCTTCATGGTCCGTTTAACCTGATTCTGGGCCCACAAAGTTGCCGGACAAATCTTACGCCACAATGCCCTGCGAATCGTCTTTACTAGAACCTAAACTAGCGCACTCATTATCCAGATTGATATAACTTTCATCTTTTTCCCTGTTCGTTAATTTATAACCTTACTTCGAGAAAGATAAATTGCCCAGTCAGACTTTCAGAGAAAAAACCACCGTTAAATTAAAAATTACCGCACATTTACATGCTCTGAATATAAGAGACGGTGATGAGAACAGAATAATTCGCAGTCTTTTGTGAGTCTTGCTCGTTTTCCCCATTGTGTGTGTTAACACCTCAAAACCCTTAAGTACAACAATGTATAATGACATAACACTGTTACTTCTGTTTTGTTTCTTAAACTTAATGGCACGCAAAGAAGAAGGCCAATTATAGACAGGTGCTATCTTGCATCGATCAACAGCCCCAAATCACGGAACTACTCTTCAGGTGGATTTTTACTGTCGCGGAATTTTTATGTGCGTACGCACTTAAAGGTTACGTGGGCAAATAAAATAGAGGCAATGTATGAATTAAAGTTGAACGAGGTTCAATTTTTACGTTTACGGGCGACCTTTCGTATCGATTACCTCTAAGGCTACGTGCAAACGGGCGCAACAACTCCCAACATTGTTGCGCCAACAATGTTGGGAGTTGTTGCGTGCGTGTTGGCAGTGGTGTGCAAACGGATGCAACAACTCCCAACAAGTAATGGACCTGCAGTGCATAGTGGGAAGAATACAACCCATAGGTCTTTGTAATCCATGCGTAATGAGCGTGCGTGTCCCCTACAATGTTGGAAGAACCATGCAAACGGATCCAACATTGTTGCACTACGCTTCGGCGATCACAGAACAAAAGAAATGTTGGGAGTTGTTGGCTGAAACGTTTGACCGGTTTCAAACTTTGCGCAACAAAATCCAACAACATGCAACAGGGTGTGCAAACGGACACAACATGTAACATCCAACAATGTTGGGAGTTGTTGGCCAACAATGTTGCGTCCGTTTGCGCGGGGCTTGCCGTACCGTCGATGAAATGAATCAAATTCTTCCTTCGTTTAAATACAAAAGCCATAAATAACTTCAACTCCTCACTGTCTCCTTTCTCTGCTTTCGGCTTTCTTCCCGAGGTGAATAACGAGGAATTTATAAACTTGTGAAAACGCCTATCATCATTTCTTTTGTTTTATTTCCAAGTAAAAAATTCAATGATTTGACTATTACCACCAAAAAATCAAATTGGAAGAGGGTTTTACTTCAGATGATGGCGAAGTAAGTCAGAAAATCTATCTCTTAACCTTTGTTTATCCTGCAAATATTGGTTTTCACTTGTGGACCTTAGTTTTTGCCCAATAAAATCCAAATTACCATACTATGTCTTTTTATTTCACTTTGTTCTGCTTTCAGTGAAAATGCTTTCCGTTGTACTTTTTATTAGCCATTAAGTTGTTTTAAGATACTTGCCCTACACCAGGCAAAAAACAAGAAAATTTGCTATTAAGAAAGGTTTTCGCCCCCCGTAATAACAGAGAGATTTAGAATCAGGTTGACGGCAGAGTGACATTAACAATTTCTCAAGTTAGTAAATGACTATGAGAGTAACAGTTGTTAGCTTCACACTAGAGCTCTCAAGTATAATCTAAGTGTACCTTTGAGTGTGAAGTGGTAAAATATGCCTACTTCAACGTTACTTGGTGACCACGGAAACGTCCGTTGTTCAAAGAAGCCGAAGTTCGTCGACAAGTATGGTCTACACCACACTTGACCAATAGGAAATGGAAGCCATGTGCACGTGTAGCGGTTCCAAGACTCTAATGAACGGACAGAACATTCAACCTGTCTTGGTTAGCTAAGAGAGTTTTGTGGAAGAGTCCAAGCCCAAGCCGTAAAAGGATTTCTTTGCCAAAAAGCGCACTGTCCACCCATTCTAGTAAAACACTGCGGAAGACTTCGCTTGCTTTCTGTTTGTTTGTTTTTTTTTTTTCTGCTGCTCCGAAGTACTCGTAAAAAACGAAGCGCATAAGCACTCTTTTACTGTTAAAACCGTTTGAGGTAAAAGTATCGAAAAAATAAATGCGAAACTACAAAAAGCTTTTTTCCAGCTCAAAGGCCACATATAGTTTTAGCTTTTTTCGCGACCAATTACGTTACTTTGTGATATGCATATTAAATAATTTAACTACGAAAGATGATTGACAGCTTGTACCTCAAGTTATATACTTTTTCAACAAGTGTGAAACCATGTTTTCTATAGAGCGACTTAAGATTTTCAATTACACTTGTATCAATTCAAGTACCTACTTGAAACTAACTAAGTTAGCTTCTAAAGTGAAGCCAAGTACTGTGCAAGACAGTCCTTACGGATCAAGGGCGTAGCGTGACCATTTTGGCATATACGCACACGGGTCCATTTGGTCTCAAAAACTTCGTATAAAAAAAAGTTTTTGCCCCCGCCCCCCCCCGGGGGGGGGGGGGGGGCTTTTCTTTAATACATATTAAGGCAGTTTACAGGGTTGTTTACATTATGACGTGACATTGAAAAGGCTTTTAAAACGTTCTTCTTTGAGCTGGTACTAGAATGGTTACAAGCACAAGGCGAGGCGCCTTCGCTAAATAAACTTCCAAAGCACTGAATAATTCACACGAAATTCAAAACCTGTTTCAGTTCGTTTCAAATAAGATGTTTCCTTCAAATTCTAAACGAAAACTTAGCGAAACATTTCATGTTAAGAATAAAAGATTAGCTCTACTGTCGCTTTTATTTTTTCTCCTGTCACTTAAGAAAAATGTCCACTTAAAGTGTACTTTTTCTGTGCAGAAATTTGGAGTTTAAATGCATCGGTTGAAAGCCTTGCGACGTGTGCGTGGTTTTGTAAATTTTCCGCATGGTCTGGTCCATGATTATCCAGTTGAGCGACATTAAAGTAGTCTTAATTGTTAGACTTTTTCGACATTTATAGGGAGAGAGGAAATTAAAAAAATCAATAGCTTTTGAATGGAAAAACTTTTCAGATAAATCTTGAAAGGAATTATAATCAGTCAGAGTCGATTCTTTGTGGCGACAAATGTGTTTGCATGAATTTCCCCAGTCCCCCTTCGTTTTTCATGAAAACGTAATGTATTGGGAAAAATGTTTCAAATTTATCACATTCCACCTCTCAAACTGTTGTTTTTTTGGGTGTAAAAATGATGGGGAATAGCCGCGATACATATACAGACAGGAACAAATTTGCACAATACAAGGTTAAGTCACGACACTATAAATGGTTTTTACTTATAACAGAAAAGTTTTAAAAAAACCCTACCAATTTCTCAAGTACGCACTTGTGTATTTGCGTAAAGGACGCTACGCCCCTTCGGATGAACCTGACATGAAACTAAACCGGCGATCCAGAAACTCTCTAAATAAATATGGTTGGCGATAAATCCGCGAGCATGAGCCGACAGCAGCCACGACAGCGAGGCGTGAAACGCCGAGGCGACGAGGGAAAGAAAAGACATCACGGGGACTTTTTCCAACAGTAAGCACGGTTTACTGCATCATACAGGCCTGTCGAGCCAGGGCAGGTTGCTAGAATTTAAAAGAAAAAAAATACATGTAACACCATCGAAAACCTGCTGAATTTGCAACTGTTTCAAATTTCTTTCGCCCGACCAATTGATTTCGAATTTTTGATTCAAGCCCACGCACTGAACGGATCATCTCCTTTCCGTTTCCTTATATCACTTTCGAATATTGCTTTCATGTCTCAAGTGCCAATAATACTGTCTCACCTGATAGTGATACGTCTCACGCAATTCACATCTCCTGAGCTCATTCGCCTTCATATACAAATCAAAATGTTTAATGCGATGAACGTCCTGCTATTACCAGTCATCAAATATTTGTTGAAATAATATTAATTGCCATGTGTTCTGCAATTTTTGTGACGACTCTAATGAGTTTTCGACGGTGTAATATAGAACCAATCAAAATCCAAGAATATTTTGGTACTTTTTAAGAGTCTTGCAATTTGAAAGATTTTACAGGCAAAATGCAACCTTTCAAATCACTTACTCCCCTACCATAAACAGCTCATAATCTATTGGATTTTCGATTTTGATTGGTTACAGTAAAATCCAGGTTAATAAGCCCTGGGCAGTAGCCTAATTAACAGCGCCTCGAAACGAGCTGATAACGATAATTGCATGGCAATAAAAATGCAAGCTTTTAACATGAACTGATACCGGCGGAACAACATAAAACAGGAAAAAAAGATGTTGGAAACCAGAAGCATGGGGTTACATGCTCCTTTGGACACTGAATAAGAGCATTTTAGTGTCCTCGTCATCCAAAAGACTTTGACGAGTGGTCATTTCGATGTGGGACTAGGATCAGTTGGATTACTTGTTTTGCCTGTGATTCAAATCTTAACCATTAAGTAAGTAGAGGAATGACTAACAGAATTAAGCAAGGCAACAACGATTTATTATTGTTTTCGTATATATCGCCACCTTCAGACCATATCTGCCTCGTGTCGCGCCGACAACCGAGAGCGCAGGGCCTTATGGGAACGCCTAGTACAAGCAAAGAGGGAGGTCTGGAACGAGGCAGGAGTTAAGTGATGATAAATATCAACAAATCCGATCATTTCGAGATAAGTCTACTTTTGCATAAACATCTTAAAAGCATTAATTTGAGCATTATCTAAGCTATTTATAGTTTGTAAACAAATTCGACATCCGTCTGTGTTAATTTTAATGGATTGCCATCGCTTTGATTCTCTCCGTGTTTAACCGTTTTAAGGTTCTAACAGGGTCCCATAACCTTACTCATGGAAGGTTGTTTAACGATAACATGTCCCAATGAAATTGATGTCATCACGCACACAAACCTTTAAAATTCCTCTCTTGTGACTTTCGTGAGCAATCATTCTTAAAATTAGCATAAGCTTAAGATTTACCACGCAGTAAAAGTTGAAGGGACGTAAATGCCTCTTTGGTCGTGATCAACCCCCCATATATGTCTTAGCAACTGTTATAAATGACTGCGTTGGTGTAAACAAAAAATCTGAGACGCGTCTAGATGCATGCGCCGAAATCGGATCTTTACTTAAACAGCTGTATTGTATCATGGCAGCTGTATAGTTCGATGAATAGTTAGAAGCACTTAGGCCCAGATTACACACGCCAGGTAAGGCTGTTCTTTCAGTAGCTTTATCTTTACGTTTAGACCCAAATCGCTTACAAATGCGGCCTTTTAATGTCCATGCAAAATCTAAGATGGAGTATCATTTAAGTCACGAAACAACGCGAATATCTATTTTCTTAAAAAAAAAAGTGGGAGCCCAGCTCACATCCTACAGTCTATGCTCACACTTTACCGAATAGCTTTTGCGCCGGCACGAAAATCATAACAGATAGGGTTTCTGTTCACACATAAGAACGCTAATTTCGGCACGATTTCTGTAACGGAGCGAAGCTGCGCCACGCCGATCTGAAAGGTGTTCAGCCTTAATTTCAGTTTGCACTCTGTCTTTTATATGTTGCGGACCCTATTTTTAGCCAGAATACTGATTTCGTGAAGAGGGAAGTCTTAGTTAGCAATATGGCAAAATGGAATTTTTAATACTTAAAACTTTGAAAAGGTGGAATAATATTTTAATGCATAACTGGTTTGCGTCACTTGGTTGAAACTTCCAACAACTGTTTTTTGAAGTGCGCTTTTATTGACAAGTGTACATGCATAAATTAAAGTAAACGTGCACGCAAAGATTGGCCCCTTCATTATAACGCATTACAATAATTGCAATTCTCGAAAGTGCATAAACGTTTAGAGTGAAAATTTCAGTTGAGCTATTGCCTAATGGACAGGACGGACTTATAGACGGTAAGTGTCGTACCAGAACGATCATTCGTCTTTATAACCTTTTTCTCCCAAACCCTTTTAAACGTCTGATGAATGAAATTAACTATTTTCCGGTTTTTATTCTTTTAGCACGGTAGGTACATCAATTATTTTCAGAGAAAAATTGGAAAATGCGAACAGACCTGGCTGTGAATTAAGAATTTACAACGATTTACGTAGAACAACGTGCATGAATTTTACGTCGAATTGGATAGTCCATACTACGTACGTCAGGATGGATAGTCCATATTACGTCAGGCCTTCTGTTCCAAAACGGCTAGACGTCAAAATTCCAAATTCCTTGATAAACAAAAAGTACAATGCGAACTAACTGAAGCAGATCTTTTTTGAATTGGTTTCATCTCATTTCTTATTCGTCCATTAAGATTTAAACATTCATGTCCTGAATATTTCTGGGTTGAAGTGGTGAAAAATTAATATAGTTGTCTTCGACTACATTAACCACGGACCGATTCGAGTAAATTTATATTCGAGTAAAATCGTGTTAATTGTTTGGTCTTTTTAGGCCACATAATAAAGGCATTTCTAGTTTCATTTGATAAGACTGATAAAGTTTCTGCAACATCACGGCAAGTAACGGCCCCTCGATTTAGTGGCCCTCTGACTGTTTTCACATCACTGATAGCGTGTGTTTTATAGAATCACGTACCATATTATGTTTGTGCAACTGAATATTAAAAGTAAGAGAAAGAAATGAGGATTTATTAACAAGTCGCCAGCTGCCACGGAATCAGAAACGCTCAAAAAAGCTTTTACCACGCAATCTTCAGAAGAATATATTATAGATCGCCATTAAGGTTATGTAACTGCCGCAAAAAGTTATTTATTGGTATTTCCTTAACATGTTAAGAGGTTCGTCGCGAATACGAGTACGAACTGTCGCAAAGTTTTACCGATTACGTCGATTTGAAATTCATAATCTAGTCTTTCGCTTGACAGTTTTCTTTGTTTCAATCATTAATACAAAATGAAAACAGAGGTATTTGTTTTAATATACCCTTTCTATGTGTATGTCACTTAACAGTTCACTTTTCAGACTTTTACTGAAATTGAAGTTTTGCATCTGCTCAAAAAGATGTCACCGATACACTGAATCTAAATGACAAAACAAGCATTTCTTACATGTTTTAAAATACGGTGGCCCTCCGCAGCACAGAGCTAAACAACATAAAGCGATTGATTTTTTCTTAATCATGAGCCCTTGTTCTCCTCTTTCGATGGCATAATGACTGGCTAAAATGACCATATGGCTAGATCTACTAATTTGCGAGACGCCTTCCGGCGATTTTAATGAGATGAAAATCGCAAATTTTTAAAAACGGAACATTTACTCGACTTTGTTTACTCTAGCCAGAAAGAGTAAGTTGCATAGAAATGGTTGTCTCTTTTTCTGACAATTTGATGTTGGCTTTGGAGGGAGTTCTTATCAATGTAATATCCATCGATTGTGTTTTAAGCCAATAGGATCCTGTTTCTCATAACACATGCAAGATATTTCCTATATCACCCCGATTACACAAACAATTTGCTATACCTTCAACACGAACAGTCGTTGCCTTGGTCTCTAGAGCTTACTCGAGAAAAATTAAAGCTAAATTCAGGCGCAACAATCGTCCGAGACCTTTTAACGTTTGGCAACTAGTGTCAAGCACGAAACCGGACGGTCAAATATTTTTGCAGGTACGTTTTAAAGAATTTCTAAAGCTTGTGTACCTGGCTTAAGTGTTAGGATAGGAAGATTAATCTCGCTCCAACATGCGATCTTTCTGAGATGTTTACTTTTGCTGAATTTCAGATTTAAAGTAAAGATGACTGAACAAATCGACGAGTTGGAGAAGTTACTTAGGCGGTGTAAGGAAATACACGCACGCTTTAACTTTACCGCGCTGAAACAACTCCACATCAATGACACGGGTCCTGTAATAGAAGCCCTCTTCACAAACCTCACGGCCTGTGAAAAGGCAAGTGCGGCCTCTCCTGCAACGCAAGCTACGTATACACAGTCAGCAACTCAGTTTCGTTGGTATAATTCAGCCGCCCTCTCGGCCTACTTCGTTATAATTGCCGTCGTTGGATTGACAATAAATTTAGGGGTGATTGGTACAATATGTCGTGTCAGAAGATTGTGGACTATCACTAACGCCTTTGTGTTGAGCTTGGCTATGGCCGACTTTTTCATGGCAAGTGTTTTAGTACCGCTGGAAATAAAGTATATATACTCAGAGGATGAAGTATCGCGTGCGAAAGACACGCTGATTACTCTGTTAGGCGTTGCATCGCTTTTAAACCTCACCGCCGTCACACTGGAACGTTTTATTTCAATTTGCTACCCGTTAACGTCAGACAGATATCTGACTCGCATTCGCGCCACGATTATTATTGCGACCATATGGCTCCTGTCTTTTTTTCAGGCCTTTTTAAACTGGGCGTTCATAGAAAAATCGCATTTCCAACGAACTCTGTACGAAGATCTCCGCTTTGCCCTTGCGTTTTGCTTGCCTTGCATTTGCATCTTGATTGTGAACATTAAACTTTTTTGCGTAGCTCGAGTTCACGCGCATCACATCCACGCAGCCAATCCACAAGGTTCACGAGACTCAAAGCGCGCGTTCATTAAGAAGATGAAAACTGCCAAAATCATCGCGCTTCTTGTAGGAACGTTCATGGTGACATGGCTACCCTACTTTTCTTTGACAGTTTATGACCACCATCACCCGAACAGCGTACTCGTGAACAGAGCTTTGGATGTCACTGAAGCCACGGTGTGTGCCACGGCGTTGTTAAATCCTCTTTTATACGGCTTACTTCGACGAGACGTGCGAGAAGCGATGTTTAGAGGAATCACGTGCCAGAATGTGAACCAGACTGAGATTCACAGTTTTTCAAACAGTTTTCGCACAGAGCACAACACTTTCCAAACTACAATAAAGGCACGAGCCTGAGAAACTATACCTTCGCTGTTCCTACACCCCGTTCAGAGTAACGCTGTAAAGCGTATATAAATGCAACCTAGTTTAACTCAAAGGACCATTCAAGATGGGAATTCGTCTGTTTGGGACAGTTGCTACTACTTCATGCCACAATGGCATGCGGCTTCGCTTCTTTGATCTTGAAGTGAAAAAAACCTAAAACATGCATGATGATTAAGCGAACATTTGAAACTTTTTCAAGCTATATGCGGCGCTGTTAATCGTCGTAATCATTAGTATTTATTTCAAAAAATGTGAAAAACAGGTAGAATCTCGATAACTGGAACTCGGAAAACTCGAATACTCCGCTAACTCGAACTATATTTTCTTTCATTTGATCAAAACACCCGGCTTTCAGTGAAATTTACCCCGATATCTCGAATTTCCCGCTAACTGCAACTGTTTTTCGTTTCTTTTCAGAGTTCGAGTTACCGGGCCGGGTTCTACTGTAGTTACAAATGTATAATCTCATAGGCAACTCGAACTATTCGAGGTGGGAGTTGGTGATAGAATTAAATTAGGACAAAATAACAAAGGGAAAAATTATTTGTTCTTTTAAACACGGTTTTAAAGAATTGTAAATACAGAACTTAGAAACATTTACATCACAATGCAATTGTATCGTATAGTGAACGAAGCTTGTATTAAGAAATTACGGAATGAAGCGAGGGCCTCTTTGACCAATGAAATATGCTTGTAATACCTCTCCTATGGCCCTACCAAAATAGCCAGTTTTAGGTTTGAGTTACACGGCTCGATGCGTGCGTGTCGCCGGATTATAACCTCATCATTTGCATCAAAAATCGACCTGAATGGTGACAGGGTGATCCGCCTGCAGCGAGCACGACTGTCTGTAAAATTAAAATCATTGTCGGTCGAGTCGAAGGTGACAAAGCTGTATTGCAAGCATAACTTTCAAGATATTTTAATCAAACTTTGCATTGAGTTACTGTATTGATTTGCTTTGAAATTCAGTGCGAATCTTTGAATTCATGCTAAAAATTCTTCGTCATCTCAAGCGTAATGGTTCCGGCAAATAAAGACGTTTTTAACATTTCTTTTCTGTAATGGCTTGTTTTCGTTATGATGATTCCGAGTCCGGAAGTCCGAGATTATAACTCTGTTATATGTAATTATTTTCCTTAGTGAAAAACAAAATATTTCAAGTAATTATTGTAAAAAGAAGAGTTAAATCACAAAATAATTAGAAACTAAAATTTCAGACTTTACTGACAGAGGTAGATTTGTCTGAGTTACATATAATTATAGATTTGTGATAAATTCGCTGAAGCAGACCTTTTAAATTGTTTTTAAAGTATTCCGTTAACACCTTGGAACACTACATGGAATAAGACCATTCAGACAGTATATTCAATGAAGATGAAATCAAATCATGGTGGATTAAAACAAGAGACTGTGATTTTCTTTTTAGCAAAACCGAGAAAAATGCTTTTTGGAAACCTATTTAATAGAAAGAATAAGAGGTGCATTAATCAGTCGCACCTGTTTTCAGAATTCTAATCGAGGCATAACAGTATTGTGCTGTTTGTTGCGGAAAGAATGCTGAGTGAAGTCTCGATTTTTTCATAGAGCCTCCTGAGGAGAATTAGCTTGTGTGGATACTATTATTATACTGTTTGGCTGACTGGTGAAACCTGGCGTTTTGGGAAAATCGGATTCTATTGTATTTAATGTTAAGCAGATGTGACGCGCTTCAAAATATTATAAATTACATTATTTCCATAATTAAGAATAGAAAAGTTTTTTTTCTTTTACTTTCCAAATAAAACTACTTTTCGATCCATTTATACAGATGGTATGAAATTCTGGAGCAGACAAAGGGACTTTCTTACTGGGGTTATTTAAATTTTCTTTATTTCTTATTTAAGCTAAAATGTCTTAAACTAGAAACCATTAATGTATAGAAAAAAATCCATCAAAACACAGTCATGTATTAACAAGGCCATTCACGACTCTTGATGGCTTGTAAAATGCGAACAAAGTCGTGATAAAAGCTCGTTTGAGTTGACATTAACAGGTAACTAGGTGTTTATTTGATTTTCAAGACTTCCTCGGTCCATGGGCCATTAATTTGAACTTTTCTACGTCATTTGATAGATGGTAAGAAACAGGATGACTGTGTGATATGATTGGACCCAATTTTTTTCGTGGCTCCCTCATAAAAAGGTGAACAGGTTCTTAAGCTCCGTGCTAAGTTAAGCATATGATGTCACCTTTATTTTAGCATTAAACGTTAACCTGCAAAACTTCATAAGAACCAAAAGAAATGATTTAAGACTGAAAAATCACATTTCTTTGTTGAAAATTAATGAGAATCAAATGATTCAACGAGAAATAAAATAACGCAGAATAGGTTTTGTTTAAATGGTCACATGGAAGCTTGGAGTGAAAGCCAAATTAGAAATTATTGCCACATCAACACTAACCCCAAACTTATTAATTTTTTTATTTGTCATTTTACCTATATCTAGCCATTAAAAGTGAACGAAAACGTGAGATGGACAGTTTCTAATCATCTGTTTTCATTGCTAAGAAAAGGCAACTACAATCATCGTTAAAATGGTAGGGACAGGTCTCACATTTTGCACTGTCATCGTGAACACGAGTCCATTCAATATTTCCTATTTTTTTTATTGTCTGTTCGGTCTGAATGTAGTTTCGCTGTCGGCCAACATTGAAGTGGGGAAGGAGAGGCTGATTTGGGCCATTTCTGCGAAGATGGCGGCCAAAAATTAACGTTAGACGTTGTTGAGTTCTCTTTCAAATGAGCGTTTTTGGAACGTTTCAAAGATTTATGTCGATGTTGTAGTTTTAAAGTCGTTTCAAGTTTTGACCCTTTGTCGCATAATTGTCGAGAAATGTTGAAAATAAAATAAAATCCGTTTGCAAATTTAGGCAGGCGCACATGGCAATTGTGCACGTTTGCAGCAAAAAGGCGGCTACATTTTTAGCTATCACTATACTTTTCAGGAATTAACAAAATGTAGTCATATAATATATAGTATTATAAGATTACTCTTTAAAACCAACTAAATGGGTAAAAAAACCGCAAAGTTGTAATTGTCCTTTACATTTCCCTATTTGCCTCAAATATAACGCCCACACGGCACGTTCCTCAGTCTAAGCTGACTTACAAAAGATGTCATTTCGTCTTCGTAATTTGATATGACCATTAATCACATCAAAATAATGAAATAATAGTTATAGATTACGCAAAAGCAAATTAGTGGCAATTTTTCTAGTTAACATTTGCGGGGGATGGCACGTTTTGCAACTTGAAAATGAAAAAAAATAAAATAAAATAAGGGTGAAATGGCGACATCTACCTATATACATATGCCAAGGAAAATGCAAGTTAGCTTAACATTCTAAAATGCCAGATTTAACTATATATAATATGAAAGTTTATGTAGATAAACTTGAAATGTTCAGTTAAACGTTTGATAATTGTTAAAACTTGGCAAAAACACAGATAATTTTCCTCTGTTTTAATAATCCCTTCTCTCCAAGAAACAATAAAAAATGATTTCAAACTTAAGCCTTAATTATTAATAGCTGAAGAAAACAGCACCTCTGACATTTTTTTAAAATAGGGCCTCAGCTTGTTTAAACACTGTTTAAACATGTTTTCTTTAAAAGGGTATATATGATGTTTTTATTGCAAACAAATATTTGATTAAAGCCAAGATTAATATTTAAGGAAAATATTTGGAGAGTTTCTTCCGTTTAAGTCCATCAATCTCTAGGAGACTAATGATCTTTAAAAATATGTCTTTGTTGCGGTAAAATAAAGAGGTTACCGATTGCTTTTCCAGTTTTAACGGCATCGGGATACGTTCAGTATTATCATCTCTAATTACGTTTTAACCCTGTCTAGTAGTTTTCCTTTGCCTTAAAATTGTTATTGATATGTCATTAAAATTATCTTTTCATCTTTGTGTTTGGAGTTTGCTCTGGCGGTTAAAGACAGAATCAGTCATAAATGGGCGAGAAAGAACTGAACACTACATTCACTGGTAGTCTTTACACTAGTATATATTTCAAGATAAGTTGATTTTGAATACTTCAAGTAAAATAAAGCTTCCATTTCCCACGCAATATAATAAATATTGATTAACATGCTTCGCCTTTCTCAAAGCTCAAGAAACCGCCAGTTAGGCAAAGTCGGTTTTAATGATGGTTTTCAAGTCGCTTGAAACTTGTCTTGTCTGAGTCGTTTCAACTTTTCGACATTCATGAGATGCAAAGTAAAATAACCTGAGAATTTACTCAGTTAGGCCTAGCTTCATACACGTATCTTTGGTTAAGTAAAACTTAGCAGCTCTTAAGTCTTACTTAACAGCCGATTGTAAAGACTACCATAGCCTGCACACAGGCGCTTTATGAGCTAACCGAGGCGAACGCGGCATTACGCACTAAGCGCGAGGTGAGGGGAGGAGAAAAACGCTTTTCGCGCTTCGCCCTCGTCCCGCGCGCCTAGCGCAGAATACCGCGTTCGCCTCTCTTGGCTCATAAAGTGCTTGTTATGCAGGCTAAGACTACCATTGTAGCAGGGACAAAAGTTGATTTGATTAGCTTGCGGTCACTGTGAGACAAAACCATTCCGAACGTTAGGGTCATACAACGAATACTAGAAGGGACTTACAATCCTGGTGGCGTTGTACTTTCTTTACAGTCAGGAATTCAAATAAAACATGCGTTTATGAGGTCGTTTAAGGTGATCCTTAATTCGAGCCTGTCGATAAAACCCTACAGTGTAACCATTCAAGTGAAAGCTACTGAGCAGTACTTTCCTGTGGTGCTGTTTATTATGCTATAACTTTTAAGTCTGTGAATGAGATACGAAGTATGATCGTTTTATAAATTAAAGCTACTGAGCAACACTTTTCTATGGTGTGGCTTATTATGCTGTACAGGGTGCAAAGTGTAATTTAATCAGAACAAAACTTTGGTCAAAGAGAAAAGCCAATATTTTTAAAGCGGTTTTTATTAAACTGAATGTAGTTCCGCTTGTTGCTTGGATGACACACGTAGACATAAATGAAGCCACAGTTTAAACCAGCTTGATTAGCATGGTTAGGAAAGGTTATGATGTCAGTTGAAATAAAAGGCTAAGAAAACACACTGCATGAAAATAGAGAAGCCACCCTCGAACAAATTGGAGCCATCCACGATAAACTGGCTTTTATGCTTTGATTTCAGTGCTTGTTGCTCGGGTAACGCATTTACAAGGATCCTACATCTCTCCTATAAGGCCAGGTTCACAACGTAATAGACTTCCAGGCTGTTTATGGATTCATCCTCGGCGCCGAGCAAACCCTGAGCCAATCAGAGAAGATTAGGTTTGAAATCTTGGCAATGGCGGTTAACGAAGAGTCAAGCGAAGATAGCTTAACTCATTCGTCACCAAAAGGCCATCCAGTTACATCTTCGAGTTCAATCAACAGAATCTAGCAATGAAAGCAATTTCAGCAGTAAAGAACAAAAGAATATTTTGGCAGGGAAAGAAGCCAAAATAGTCTAACGCTCTTTGAGACTTCGACAATTTTTGGTATAAGATGGCTTCTGGGGTGACAGTGCCCTGAGCTTGTGTTAATTTTTGTTCTTTGCTTTTATCAAAATGACAATGATTGAATTACAAAGGCACTAAAGCCTTTTATTAGACCGAGGCGACCTTTGCCGTGAATGTATTAATGTTAAGAGCTATCTTTTAGTTTGTTCCTCTTCTTTTTGTCTCCAGAGGAAACATTATTAAAGCAAAGAATGCCACCAGTTTTCTCTTTAACTCAACTTACTTTGAAATATTAATAAATGTTTTTAAAATTTTTCTTCGTTGTAAGTCATTTCCTGAATTGATTTTTTGGCATAACTTAGGATAAGAAACTCCTTACCATGATGCTCAAGTTTAATCTTTAGAAATATTGAATGAGATATGTATTGAACCTATTCGGGTTTTCAAAGAGCGAATATAGAAATGAGTCTTAAAATAAAAAATACCGCCGTAAGAATATAGCCTGAAGGCTTCAGTGTACTTTATAACCAAGAACAGTGAGTGAGTAACTCGATGTCAGTGTAAAAGTATAGATATTGCGACCAAGGACAAACTTGTTTTGTTGTTCCCAGTTATTTTACAGTAGGAACTGCTACCAAATTGAGTAAAACCAACAAAAATAATCGCTCAAGGCATTAAAAGAAGGTATTTCAAAATATCACAGCATTAATACAAAAGTAGGCTGACAGATGGACAAACTTGAAGAAGATTAATTAATTAAAAACTGATTGAAATTATTATATTGTACTGGTTTTTGAAAACTTCTTAGCCTTTAGCAGATTTTCAAAGTTCATTTTTGTTGTTATTCAGTTAACGTTTGATATGATGCAGTTTGGAAGTGTATATGTTGGTTAAGAAGCTGTGATTTTGTCGTTTACAAGTAGTGAATTTCTTCGTTAATGTTAAGTTCCATAGCGAATTAAGGACGCCTAATTGGCAACATTAACAAAATGAATAAGACAGCCGTGTCACAGTACCTTTAAATGACCAGTTGAATGCCGGGAAGAGGATACGTGAAGCATAAAAATCATCATTCTGACGAATGGTAAACTGGCTAAGTATTCAATGAGAGTTTTTACAAAAAACACATAAGCGTCTATTGTGATGAGTGTTTTATCAGGCACATTGGTA